CCTGTTTCATGGTTATTATTTCAGTACAGCGGATATTATGCCAACGGTTCTGGCGCACAACAGCCACCCATGCCTATGGGAGACCCAAGTACAGGTTACCTACATTTCTTGGATGTAGTTCACAAGCTGTATGCTATACTGCTCCTCGTGGGGAAATCACCATTCATCGTTCGGAGATCAGTCAGAGTGCCAATCGGAAACTGTGGTACCAAACTGCTCCCCACTGGGACACTATGACATACAGCCTGAGAAGATCGTAATAGCGGTGCCATTTATGATCCAACCGATTTTTCGAGCCTCTTGGCTCGGCGCAGCCCTTTAAGTCGATCAGATCGGTCACCGTTCACCGACCTGACCTCGAGGAAAATTAGACGCAAATCGATTAGGTCATAGCAACAACGTCCTGAGGACTCTATTTCACGCCTTTATCCCGAAATGCGCGGCAATCGATAAACGGCTTTCTGCAGTCTAAAGCTCTGAGTATAATTATCAGAAAGGGTTGGTTCCACTCACTGACTAGTCCTCAAACTCAGCGGTTTAAAACAATGCATCGATTTTCGAAGGGGATCTTGTTGCGGTAATTGCTTTAATACCCTCCCCCCTAATAATTTATTGACTGTTCTATTCAATTACAAGAGTGATCTGTGAGTGGGATCACATTCGCGGTGCGTTAAGCAGCAGTCATCATAACAAAAACCCTTCAGAATTCGATAAACTATTTTCTGCCGCAGTTTGAGGACCAGTCAGCGAATGGAAGCCATCTCACAATCCCTCAAAGAATAAACGCGATCTGAAAACTACTGTCAGAACATTGAACTAGAGGAAATCATGTATCAATTGTCAAGTATAAAGGCGTAAAATAAACGTCTTGGGAGGTATACTGCTCTGACTAATTGACTGCGTTTAAAGTTCGAAGGCGACTTAATGGGCTCCAAAAGCTAGTTTACGTGAGATGCCGTGATTCAGATTTTCTGAGCTACATACCTATCTTTCGAAAGTGTCGTAACAGTCATTGAATAAAGCGTATTTTCAGCTGCTCAAGGTCGTCCGGGCGGTCCTGACGGATACAGTACTCGAGGTGGCTATGAAGGCGGCCGCGGAGGATATGATGGTGGTGGCCGTGGTGGATATGATGGTGGTCGAGGTGGATATGGTGGAGGCCGTGGTGGATTTGATGGTGGCCGTGGCGGCTTCGATGGTGGCCGTGGCGGATTCGATGGTGGCCGTGGCGGCTTCGATGGTGGCCGTGGCGGATTCGATGGTGGTCGTGGCGGATTCGATGGTGGCCGTGGTGGTTACGATGGCGGTCGAGGCGGTTTCGATGGTGGCCGAGGTGGTGGCCGTGGAGGATTCGATGGCGGTCGCGGCGGATACGATGGTGGCCGCGGAGGATTTGATGGCGGACGAGGTGGTGGTCGCGGTGGCTACAGCAACGACGGAGGTTTCGATGGAGGAAGAGGAGGATTCGGTGGAAGAGGCGGTGGCCGTGGTGGACGTGGCGACTTTGGAGGAAGAGGTATGATTTTGATGTGCTCTAGTAGCTGGCCTTACCAGGGAAGGGTGATAAGTCGAAGTAGCCGTTTGAAATGAGATGTACATGGACCGGTGTGCCCATAGACGGTGATTACAAATCCGTCTTTTTTTGTCAGCTGGGTACCTCTATGAATAAAAAGGTTTCTAGGGTTGGCATGCTCACACAATGCGGGTTTCAAGCGTAAGGCAGTGTTTAGATGTCGCAATGATGCGCGTCGCCGCGCTGGAATTCCTGCACCGCTACAATCGTACAAGCGCGAACGCAGCCGTAGGCGGGATTCGGTGGTGCGGGCTGCGTGGAGCGTATGGGAGAACAGAAGGGTATGCGTTGCCTAATCATGCAGTCTGAATCGCCAGCCGCTAGGGATTTGGGAGGGTAGTATAGAAGGATGGGTGAGATTCAAATT